CTTGACTAAACGACTAGACCCAAGAAGAACTGGACCCTAGGAGCAAGGCTAAGAAGTAGGGCTTAAAAGAAATAAGGAACATGGAAATTATCCAAGAGCTTTCATTTATCAGTGAATTGAATTGTGGTTGTGGACCCCACACTCTGTATGCTTTCAAGGCAAACCTTCAATCTACAGAGATGTATTAAACACCTGCTTAGCCAGTGTTCCATCACTGCTCCCCTTTTAATCAATCACACTAGTTCAAACCATTATAAACTGGGTCTAGTTAATGAATATAAATGTATATGATATTAAAATAAAGCTTCAAAATTCTGAATCAGTTGTTACCATTTCGGCTCAAGGAACTAAATCAAAAAAGAAAAAAAACTCCCTACACAAGGAAGTTTATGGAGTCTTATTTGTTCAAAGATGGGTTTGTCAACTTGACAAACACATAACTGGTTTGACAGCTATGAAGGCCAGAGAAAAACAATTTCAAATACTTTTCAACACTAGGTAAATAAAATATCAAAATTTATATTTATTGAAAAAGCACTTGTTATATTCCTAGCATTATCATAAATATGTGTAAATGGATTACAGAGATCTTCATAAATGGTTAATATTATATAAATATAGCCAATATAATAGTTACATTATGATGGTAGATAAAGTTGACTCTCTGTTCAGATTTTCTTTTATATATTTAATTTAAATTGAATTCAAACACCTATTGAGTCCTCTATGTTTCAGGTTTAGGCTAGACTGAGAAACATATAGGTATTAAATATGGTATATGGAGGTTAGAGTCAGTTTTAGCAAGAACTAGAACTAACTAACTAGACAGATAGATAGATAGATAGATAGATAGATAGATAGATAGATACAAATAAAAAATAGAGAATAACAAAATGAAACATGGAAAGGTTCATGTGATAAGGTACTGAGGGAAATCTCCAGACTCCTGCAAAGAACTAGGCCCACAATCCAACAGCCCTTAAGGAACTGAATCTAGCCAAGTACATGAGGGATCTGGAATTGTATTCTTTCCGGTTCCAGCCCTCAGGTGAGATCTCAGCCCACTGCAATAACTTCATCACAGCCTTGGAAGACAAGGTAGAGGATCCAGTAAAACTATGCTTGGATTCTTGTTTCAATGAAACTGTGAGACAATATGTGAGTAATTATTTTAAGTGGAAACATTTTAGGGGATCATTTGATATATAGTGATAGACTAGTAATAAAGATAGACATATATAATTTTATGTTATTTCATGAAAATTCTAGTAATTGTAAACTTCTAGACTCAGACAAATTTGGTTAGGAAGTAGTGAGAGTTTTATCCCTTAACAATTATTGCCCCTATATTCTGTAAGCAAAAAATTCCTCCTATCCCTCAAAATTCAGTTGCTAATGACAGAAGAAAAGGAGATATTTTGAGAATAATAATAATAATAATAGCAGCTAACATTCACAGAGCACTTATTCTTTACCAGTAAAACTTTAAACACTTTAGATCTAATGTCACCTTATATTTACATTTTATGTTGTAAATAACTACTATTATCCCTATTTTGTAGAGGAGAAAAGTAAAGTACTGAGATGTTAAGTAAGTTGCCCAAGGTTATAAAGCTTTGTCAATTCCAACAAGTTATCTAGACTCATGTTAGATCATCTTCTTATATATTCCCTAAAATAACTTTCTGGGGAAAATGGGGCTGATTCCAGAGCCCTTGCTCTTTCTAAACAATGGTGTACTTAAATGAGTAAATTTATTTTTTAAAAATAATAAATGCAAAATAAACACTCCAACACTGTAGATAAAATGCTAAATGTTTTACATCTAATATCTCATGTTTTTTCTCAACAATGTTGCCAGTTATCAATCCCTGTTTTAAAGAGAAAAGCACATAAAGTTTGGTGGTGTTATCAGTAAAACTGTGTCTCCAAAAAGGTATGTTGAAAGTTTAACTCCCGGAACATTAGAAGGTGACCTTATTTGGGAGTAAGTTGTCATAAATGTATTCAATAAAGAGGACATCAACTGGAGTGGGGCAGGCCCTTAATCCAATATAACTATTGTTTCAAATCAAGAAATGCCTGGGGCTACCAGAATATGGAAGAAATAAGGATCTTTTTCTTTTTTTCTTCCTATATTTTCCAGTGATGCATTAGAATTACACAGAATAGTGGGATTTGTTGTTATGAATTTCATATATGCACATAATATAACAAGATAATTTGCTTAATATAATTGCAAAGATCTCATAAAGCCTACAGAGAGCATGGCCCTGCTTATACCTTTATTTCAAACATTTAGCCTCCAGGACTGTGAGAGAATAAATTTTTCTTATTTTAAACCACCTAGTTTGTGGTAGTTGATTCCCACAGCCCTAGGAAACTGATACAGGTGATTTAAATGTTAAATGAAAACCCATTATATTAAAATGCTGAATAAAGAGTATTTAAAGGGCTCCACAAAGAGAATTTTTAAATGTCTTTGTGTAAGAGGACTGCTAATATTGTGCCAGTGCATGCAAAGCCACAGAATAAAAATGAGTACAGTTCCAGCGTGCTTATTTTACTTTGAAAAATAAAAAGATTTTGTGTAAAGCATGGCAATTAATTCAACCGGTAAGTAGTTTAAAAATTTTTTTAAAAGACAGTCAAATAAACACTTTTTTTTTGTAACAGGAAGAAATGATTTTTTTTAAAGGCATGGCTTGAGCTTTATCTTCAGACTTTCAGGAGCACATTCCACTATTCTCTGGTGATGCTGCTCAGAACAGCTCAAATGAGAATCTTTTCCTTGACAGGATTATATCACATTGTCATAAGGGCTGCCACAAATTCCTTGACTTCTGAGCACTGACATTTCTTTTGAGTCTTATAAACAAACCTTAATAAAATAGATAGCTCATGTCACAAATGTGGGTAATTTTGGCATGGTGGTTCATAGCCAACTGGACTAGATGTTTACTCTAGTTCTACCTCTTTCTGAGCCTTTGTTACCTCTTTTGTAACATGGAACTACTACTATCTACTTAAGGAACTGAAGGAATTAATTGTAACATGAATATCTACGTAGTGCCTGTTATATTATGGTGCTCAAAACATGGCCAACACTTAATTGAGTGATCCCAGTGAGTCATTTTGCACTTAGAATAACTCCAGGCCAGTCAGGCAATTTGATTTGCCTAAGGTCACATTTCTGAGTCTGCTTTATTTACTCAACAAATTTTATATGCTGGGAATTGTGCTAACAGATATGACTACAAACAGGCAATGTCCTTCAGGGAAGTTCATATCCCACAGGTAAAGATGACAGGCAAAAGAATAAAGATCAACCTGTATGTGGTTTGTGAAAAATGATCAGAGTTAGAAGCAGGTACATAGGAAAGTAGGAAGAGTAAATACCCCTCCCTCCTGTTCCCTGAGGTTCTCTCTATATCCACCAGAGGCCAATTTTGACCAAAATCTGTTCCAGGCCTTTTAGTCCCCAATGGGGCTCCCTTCTCCATCTAGTTTTGACTCAATCTATTTTTACCCTGCCTGTTCAAACTCCATGCAGCCCTGAATTGCAAGTGCACTGTTGGTCTCAGGTATTCAAGGAGGCCATGACGTATGTCCAGTGTTAACTTCCTGTTTTCCCAATATCTGAAATGCTAGGGATTATGGATCCAGCAGCCCTGAGTGGGTAAGAGCCAATTACAATTTTTAAAAAACTTCCATTAATTGACAATCTAAATTCATCCTCATAGCAAATCTCACCTTCATTTACAGATAAAGAAATGGGGAGAATGGTTACACAAGATTAAGAAGTTGAGTTTTCAGGATTGGGTTTATCTCTTAGGTTCTGACAGGTAGTACCTGGTGGCCTTGTTATTTAAATTTGGCATCGTTAATCTTCTCTCAAAGAGTAGTTCTGAGGATTAAATGAGCTATGGAGGTGAATAACTTAGTTGTCACCAGTCAGCAAGTATTGTCTGTAGTTTTATCATTATGCACTGTCACATAGCAAAGCAGAACTTCAAAACCAGCACATACTCCCCCTTCACTCTTAAACTGCACAGTATGGTCACCTTCTGGAGCAGGTAACTGGCTCCAAGCTATTTTAGGGACTGCAGGTCCTGGCCACCCAGCAGATCAGCCTTTACCTGGTAAGACTTCACCACCCACCCGACTCCCCAAAGCCAGACTCGGGTTTGGGTTTCGGAGTAGCTTCAGTCTGCGAGGACAGAAGCTGTAGTGTTTCCCCATCTCTCTCTCTGCTGTGGGTCTCCCAGGTGAGTAGGAAAAACTGTCCTTTCCAAGAGCAGCTTTTTGCTCAGATAATGTCTCTAGTAAAGGGTGTGTCACGTGCAAAAATAGAGAGCTTGAGGTAGGGAGTTGGGGTTCTGGGCTTGTCTTCCCTTGTGCCATTTCGCAGATGGGAAAGCTGAGGCTCCGAGGGCCTTTCTGTGAGTCGCTGAGGCATTCTTGGAAACTACCAACTGAAGACAGTTTACAGAAGAAGCCGACACGGAGTCAAACCCGGAGCTCTGGATTGGTTTCCGTCTCCCTGAGTGAACTAGACTCCTGTTGCGAGTGGGCCTCAGTTTCTTCATCCGTCGAAAGGAGACAGGAAGGAAGCTGAATAAAACGATGTTAGCCCCATTGCGCCACTGGGCCCAGAGCGATCTGCCCTCTGGCCTACAAGCCCCAGCATGCCTCGGGGCAGGGAGGAGCGCCATGACGGACAGGCGGCTCTGCGAATTGGAGCACGATAAGGGGGCGTGCGGCGGCGCGTGCGCAGTGGGCGGCGGGCGGGTGGGCTGGCGGTGGTGGACGCGTTGGAGCCGCGGGCGGTCAGGTAGGGGGCGGGAAGGAGGGCAGGGGACCAGGGACCGCAGCCGGAGTCGCGGGCGGTGTTTGAGCGGCTGGGCGGGGACCCACGCCCCAGTGGCAGGGTCTGGGGAACGGATCCGAGAGGCAGGACGGGGTGGGGGTGGGGCTGCGAGGGGCAGGCTCGGGAGGGATTGGGGCGAGAATCGCAGGAGATGCAGCTGGGGGAGGGGAGCGAGTGGTTCTGCGAAGATTCGCAGTCGCAGCGTCTCGGTCTCTGGAGGTATGAGGTAATGTGGGGGCTCCAAAGACAGCCGGGTGCAGCATCTGTGTGATGGGAGGGAGTCTGAGGCCCCCAGAAGGATCTGGGTGCAGAATTTTAGAAACGTGAAGGAATTGGGGAGCCTTGATGAGATTCCAGGGAATGTAGGAGCGCTAGGCTTTTGCGGGGTAGGGGGCAAGGTCTAAGATCAGAGGAAGCAGGTCTAGGGCGATCCTTGCTAAAGAGAAAGGAATTTCCGGATTAGGGTCTGGGAGAGATCGAGGGGTGAGTTCCTAGGGGAATCTGTAAGAAGCAGGGTCTATGGTGTAGCAGGAGACCTGGCTAAGGTTTGAAAGCAGCACGTGAGGCAGGGTCAATGAAAGAAGGAGGAGTATGGTTTGCGGGCTGCACTGTTCCTGATGGAGTTGAGCGCTCAGATTAAAGGAGGGAGGAAATTTGAGGTGCAGGATTGGGGTGCTGAGCTGAGAAGAAAGGTTGAAGGCTAGAGAGATTTGGAAACGGGGATTAAAGAATATGTCAGAGGGATTTAGGGCACATGAGTGAATAATTCATGAGGTTTGCAAGGTTGCAATGTACAGTGCAAAAGGTTGAGATTCTATATTGTGAATTGGGAACGGGATTTGGAGAGGATTGAATGCTGGGTTGGGGATGTTGTAACTGGGCTATAGAATTAAAGGCCTCTGGGGAGATTTGTGGGTTGGTATGTTAGACGACTAAAGGAATTCTGAAGTCTCTCATGGGAAGTGGAGTTCTGGATAACCAAGGACCTAAAAGTAACCTGTGAAACTATATATGAGTGTATATGTATGAAGTTTTGCATAGTCATGGGTTCAGAAATAAAGTCATAAGTCTTAAGAGAATCTGAATGTGATATTCCCTGAAGGTGGGTGTGGGCAGAATCTCCCTCTATTGAGACCTCTTATCCTGAGACACTGAGACTCCATCTGACTACTCCATTGCTGAAAGTGTTAAGACTTTGGGGAAGAAGAGTAGTCAAGGGTGAGGGGTGAAGCAGGGAAACTATCCTTCCCTTTCTCTGTACCCCCAAGCAGTTATAGTAGATGTATGAGATCTCTAGGGAATTGAGTGGACCATTATCTCAATCTGTTAATCCCAAAAGATCTATTCTACTTTAAAGAGGCAGTGGCTCTGTGAATGAGGTTTTTGGGCTGGAAGAGAAACAAAGGAAAAATCATGTATTGAAGAGCATTTAGCCCTATGCCATGTTATAAAGCAGTGTTTTTTTAAAATTTATTTTTATTGCTGCATTATTAAAGCAGTGATTTTTTTTTTTTTTTTTTTTTTTTTTTTTACCAGGGTGATTTGGTTCCTCAGAAGCAATGTATGGAAACATTTTTTAGTTGTCACAGTGGGATGGGGATACTATTGGCCTCTAGTGGTAGACACAAGAGATACTGTTAAATGGCCCCCACAAAGTAAGCATTTTTTGGTCCAAAGTATAGTCCTAAAATTGAGGAACCTTGTTCTGAAGTCAAATATTCTGGGTTCAAATGTTGGCCCTATTTCTTCCTGACTTTGTGGTTTCGAATGACTTAAAGAGTAAAGGCACTCAGAGGTTTTCAGTAAAATGGGGTCAATGACAGGATTTATGCCATAAGATTTTTGTGAGGATTTAGTGAAGTAAATTAGGGTGCCCAGTGTCTGATACATGGTACTCCAAATTTATTAATTTTTAGTTCTTATATGTACTTTCTTGCTTATTTTTCATAACAATTCTTCTAAGTAATCTCTGCTGTACACAGTTTTACATATGAGCAAACTAAGGTTTAAGAAGTAACTTGTCCAGTGTCCATAGGTAGGAATAGCAGTTAAGCCATTCCTGTAACTTCATATATTCCCTCTTTCCTTAGTCTTATTTTCTAAGCCCATTCTCCTTTATTGAAAAGGAGGATTGCTCAATTAGTATCACTGAATATTAGGTTAAACTCTAAAGATGGGTAAATCTCTCCAGATTAAATAGGGAGGAACCCTGTACTTTGTTCTTGGTTTGCTGTTAGACCTGGACCTTGAATAGATAAAGGGAGGTGCTTGAGGATAGCAAGGTAAAAGACTAGCAAGGGACTACACAATAAGGTTTGGAGGCCCTTGGCTTGAAAAAACACCTCATTGCAGGGCCTCAGGCGAAAATCAACCATACTGTGAAGGAGGGTGACTACAGTTCTCAGTGATCTCTTTCAGCTTCTTTCCTCTGGGAGAGAATAGCATTGGCTCTATCAGCTCCAAGACTAGCTACAGCATTGCCAAAGCCAGTTTAGAAACAAAGCTGGACTGGATCTGAGAGCCAAGACTTTGCTGGAATACCCACGCCCACCCCCAGCGAAAATATGTAACAGGAATTGAGTAAGCCTTAGAATCAGAAGCTAGAAGTATAACTGCTTTGCTTATTTTCTGTGTGACCTTGGTCAAGCACTTGTCTTGTCAGTCTCAGTTTATTAAAAATACAAATAAAGTGCTTAGTATGCGCATTATCTCAGTAAATCCGGCCAGCAATCTTGCTGATAATCTTTTATTCCTTATTTTGGTAAATTAGAAAACTAATAGGTTTAAATGACTTACTAGGCTACACACAAGTGGCTAAGCAGAGATGCAAGCCCAGATCCATCTTTTAAATTAGATTATACTAGTTTTATTAAAAGAGCCCTGTGCCTATGTCTGGAGAATGGTTAGAAGCAAACATTTATAAGCTGTTTATTGTTGTTGCTCTGGTACTGGGGATTAAACCCAGGAGTGTACTGTGCCATATCCCCAGCCCTTTTTATTGTTTGAGACAGGTTCCTCACTAAATTGCCAAACTGGTCTTGAACTTGTGATTCTCCTCCCTAGTTGCTGAGTACAAGGCTCTTGAAGTGGACCATTTTCCATACACTGATGTGATCCTGCCTCTGTTTTTTTCTGTGGTCGAACAATCAGATTTAAGTCAGTTTATTTTAGTTGTTTCCAGGTTCCCTGAATGCCCTGAGTAATGTCAGATTCTGCCTGGAGGTAATGGTAGTCTAGTCAGCTAGGGAAGTGTAACACATCATTTGAGTCAATGTGGTTTTATGGCTGGGAGTTACACATGAGTATTTGGGTCCCTGATCTCCTACTTAACTGGCTTGGAGATCTTGGACAGGTTACTTTTCTTGGAGCATTGTTTTCTTTACTTATTTACAGTTTTTACATAGTTTTGAAAATAAGAGTTATGTATCAAAGGTACCTGAAATTCAATAAATAGTTGTTTCACGAAAGATTGCAATTATAAAACAAAGTTAAAGCTGGAATGTTGTTTTCCCAGGTTTGAATGACCCTAATGTGGTCTTTGTCAGTATCATCCAAGTTCCTATCACCAGTTGTACTTTTCCCAGTGTCTGCTTCTGGATCCTTTAATCAAGGTGGGTGGGGGTGACCTCATGATTAAATGAGTATGTATCATATGAAAAGAAAGGAACTAAAAGAAAGAGTTGGATGGGTTCAGTTGAATTGGACCTTCCCCAGAAAAGGTTGTTGACTTTTCCCTTGTTTGTATTCTTTGAGTCAGATTGGCAGCATAGGTATTACCAAAATATTTGTAGAAGATGCAGGAGACCTTTTTTTTTTTCCTTCCTTGCTCCTGGGGATTGAACCCAGAGTCTCTGACCTATTACCCCAAGCAAGGGATACTTTTTAACTCTGACAGTTTTTGAGAAAGTCAGAAACAAAGGTCAGACTGTTCTTTTTTCCAGCCAATCCTATTGTTGATTTAACCTATCCTTGACTTGTTTAGCGAAAGCTTCTTTTTTCACAAACATATTTTAGAAATATCCTGGGATGTTATTTATGTGTCCCACACTGGTGCAACTTTGGGGACATTCCTGTGTCTCACTATAAGCCCCTACTTTTCAGTTTATTTTAGTTGTTTCCAGATTCCCTGAATGCCCTGAGTAATCTAAATTTAATCGGAATTTTCTTCCACACAGATAATTAGGTGACTATCATGTGGTAACTGTAGTCTTGCTAGAATGTGACCGTTGTGGCATGGAGATAATTATGGAATTGAATAGCATTGTGTTAAAGTGTATGAGGAATAAATATAATTTAGAAAGCTGACATAAAAGGAAGTGTCATAAACTACAAAAAAAAGGAGTGTGTTAATAGTACAATATAGAATAGACTTTATGTCTTGTGAAAGGAAATATAGAAACTAGACATTGTCTAGTTTTTGGGTGAAAACTCTTGTTTCTTTTTTTCTTAAAAAAAAAAATCTTGCACAGGTCTGCACTCAATTTAGGTGCTCAGAAAAATGTGTTGAATGAATTGCCTAGGGATCTCCAGTTTTGCATGCTCCAAGCCTACAAGAGGCTGATAATGTATGTAGGATATGGAGACCTCTAGACAACTACCACATGATAGACAACTCAAGCATTGGATGAACACTTGAAACCTTGGGTCATCTGATTTTTGATTGTATAATCAAGAAAAACAATCTCCAAGAAGGCTCAGAATTTTATTATTTAAATCATGTATCTGATGCCTTAGGTACAGTCTGCCTATTGAAAAAGGCCTATTCATTTCTTCTTGTAGGCTGGGTGGTAGTGGCAGGCAGTTGCTGCTGCTTCTGTTGTCACTGCTACTAATAACAATAAAAGCTATTTTTTGCACACTTAATTGTATGCCTGGCTTAGTACTGTACTAAGTGCTTTTACATACATAAATCTCATTTAATTTTTATGATAACCTTGTGAAGGAGGTACTATTCTAAAGCCCCTTTTCATGGATAAAAAAACTAAAAAAAAAAAAAAATGGAGAAGTTAAATAACTTACCCTAGTCTCCACAATAAGTATTAGAGCTGGGATTCAAAGCCAGAATGCCTGGTTTTTTAGCCCACTTCCTTAATCTGTAATAATGCTTATTTTTAGCTCCTTCCTTTTAGTGCTAGTTCTGCCCTGAGTTATTATTTTCCTTCTCCTCATCTCAGTTTTCTCATTTATGTTACTCTTTGAGATTACTACTAATTCTAGTATTTCATGTTTAGTCTCTGCTAGGAGGAATGGAAGCAATTTATTTTGGTCACAAGAAGATGTGAATTCATTTACTCATTAGTTCCTAGCCTGGATATCCAGCATTCTCAATCAAATCCCTCCAAAGCTGACCTGTCCTTTTATTAATCTTTGTGTCTTTACATTCCATGAAAGATTCTTCATCCTTTCAAAATTCTTTGTTAATACTAGTACTGGTTATTGTTAATGTTGTTTTGATTGTTATTAAATATATGGTAAATAACATTCTTTTATTGCATATCTACCAGTATCAGGTTAAGTACTTCATATGCAGTATTCCTAGTCATCACAGGAATCTTTTTATGAACTATGAAAACAAGTCAAGAGGATAAATAACTTGCCACTGTCCCACAACTTGTAAATGACAGTGCTGTTATCCGGTTCTGTCTGACCTCGGGATTTGTGGTTTGTTTTGTTTCTTTTTGTTTTGTTTTGTTCTGTTTACTTTTTGCTTTTTCTATTTACTTCATGGACTGGGGACAACTTAGTGGTGCCACATGATATTAGACTAGGCTGGGATATAAGTACAGAATTTTCCTAAATCTTAAGAGCAGACATAGCTTAAGGGAAGTCTTCTCAGGAGCCAAAGAGATATGCTAATAAAAGTGTGAGATGTGCAGCATAAATAATTACATCAAGAGGGTAAGGGGTGGGGATAAGCTGAGGTTAGATAAATCGACAGGTTAAGACTTTGAAAGGTTGTACAAAGTGCCTGCTAGGAAATGTATTCAAGGGATTATGAAGGCAGACAAGATCATAAAAAACATGGTAGGGTTTCATTCTGGTTGGTCACATGTTTTATAGCTGGCAGAAAATGGGCAGCATAAAGACTTGAGATGATAAAATTCCTTTTATAGTCCTTCTCAGTTTTAATAGTAATGACCAGATGTGTCCATCTGGAGGAATGAGACTATATCTGCCTGTTTCTAAGTTCCATTTCCGGCTGAGAACTATCTGAATGTTGTATTCCCAGGTCATGGAAGTAGGAACAACTGTCCAGGCTTTTTCCAGATCTGAGGCTCTCCATACCTGATGCTCCAGTGATGGTAACTTGTGTTTCCCTGGAAAAGCATGGCAGCTGCAGGGCAGGAATTTCTGACATCCTTAGAGATAGTAGATAGTTTAGATAATTTGGGGTATGGATGTGGGCATAGTAAATTCCTTTTTTAAAGGTGATGGCTTAGATAGGAAAGCAGAAAGCTTTTTAATTGAAGGAGGTGGTATGATATTCCAGAAAGCTAGGGGAAGAATTTGCTGGTTCTTTTACAAGCTGGCAGACTTTAAATTAGCTGATCTGCAGTGCCAGCTCTGGGAAGAACAGATGTCCCTGCACATTGTAAGGTAACATGCTCTGGATCCAAACCAAATGTTGTCCCCATTCTGTTGTCCCAGATGACAGAAGAGAGAAGGAAGCTATCACTTTAGCATTGGGATAGTTTGTATGGATCCTGACTTGAGGTTTCTATCTGTATTTGTAGATTATTGTCCCCAGACCCATAGCATTTAAGAATTCGGCCTCCACAGATTCAGATATCCACATGTGGCCCCTTGGGCTCATGATGCAGTAATTTGTCATTTTGTTGAGCTATGGATTTATGTCATAATAGGTTGTAAGGCTAATGTATGGGAGTGGGTCACTCAGCTAATCAATCTAACTTAGAATCTCATACCTATATTATTGTTCCTTCTTTATTAAGAAGAAAATTATGTGTTATAAGGCAACATTTCCCAGCTCAGCCTAGAGGACACTTGTTAGTAAATGTTACAAGACTATTTAAAAAACAAACAAAGGGGCTGGGGTTGTGGCTCAGTGGTAAAGCGCTTACCTCGCATGTGTGAGGCACTGGATTTGATCCTCAGCACCCATAAAAATAAGTAAATAAATAAATAAAGGTATTTTTGTCCGTCTATAACTAAAAAAATATTTTTAAAAAAACATGAAAAAAGCTTGGAAGTAATGCTGTGTTAAACACAAAAGTAAAGATATCTACTCTGTAAGGTTCCACCATGTTTAAGCTGTATGATCTTGAGCTAGTTTTTCTGAACTTTAGCTTTCTTCTCTGTAAAATAGGATAATAAAAATACTGTGATTATGAGGATTAAATGAGATTAAGCATATGAAACTCCTGACATGGTATCTAACACATAGTAGGAACTAGATGAAATCTCTTATAGTACTAGGAATATCAAGAAAATAGCACTGACCTTAGATAAATTGCATATCTCCTGCTCTGTCAGATTGCATTTCAAAGCTAAGTTAAATATGATGGAAATTTGTTGTAATCTCTCAGTCTACACTGACTTCCCTTCTATGTGCCTGGAGAATGTTGATGAGGTGGGCAAAGATTTTTCTGAGCTGACTTCACTATCCTTAAAATTAAACT